GACACTCAGTTAACACAATTGTTGGTTGGTTTGTTTTGTTGTTAAATAAATGAGGTCAATTGCATGCGCCGGCAACGATGACGGCGACAACGATGACGACGACGACGCCGCACATAAAATCCCAAAAACGTCAATGTTTATTGTAAAACTATACAGTTGTATGGTGCAGTAGTGCATTCATTACTTTGTGGTGCATGATGGTGTTGTATGCCACACAAAACATTTAAGAAGCACCTAAAGGTAGTTGTTTTTATATTTGTTGCCTTTTCTTTTTCTTTCTTCTTATTAATTTAATAGTCAAAAGTCGGCTTTGTAGTAATGATAATAATGACGGCTTTAGATGATGATGAGATTGATGATGAAGTTACTAGTTGGTAGTGGTGTTGGTGGTAAATTGCATGGTGGTATTTGTAAATTATTTCTTACTTTTGTTTCAATTATATTTCAATGACTGTTTATATCAGACGTAAGTAAGTAAGTAAAAGTTGCCTGATTATTTTTGGCCATTTTACAGTTTAGAGACCATAAACTAACAAAAGCTCGTAAAAAATTTACTCTAAAACTTTGATATCCCCTTAAAAGAAACTCCAATTTCTATTGATGATCTTCGTTGTTACATACATGTTTCTATCTATCTGTCTGTCTAATTTCAACAAGTACTTCTTCGTATGTTTTGAAAAAGTCGTAAAATAAGAAAACAACTTTAAAAAAATAAATAAAACACAATTTCACTGACGTTTTTCACTTAAAATGTTTATCAAGATTTTGTGTACAACTAGTCAGAGGATTAGCCTGATTTTTTCCACAATTTCAGTTTATGAATATTCACTCTGCTAACAACTCTTATAGCCAATGAAGATTAAATAATAGAAACCGAAAGAAAAAATTGAAAAACACAAAAATTACCTTTCACTTTAATGTTTTTCAATTTTAGCATTTTTTTCTTCGTTTTTTTTATTGCAAATGTTTTATTTGAATACAACATGTAGCTAGTGAGTGTGCTTCATGTATGTTGAGGGAGTTTTGCAGTGGAAATAATTATTTTATTAGATTTTTTGTTGTTTAGTTTAAAACATTTTGATTGTTTTATTTGGACAAATGTTTGGCCTTTTTTTCCGCATGTCATTGTTTAATTAGTTAATTATTTTAATGGCAAGTTTAATACGAAATTTGTGGAAAAAAGGAGTTTTGAACAAAAAGCTTAATGTCTAGAAATGAAGGAAAAAGTTCAAATTAGGAAGTGTCTTTTGGTATTTCCTTAAGAGATATGGGAGGTTAAGTAATTAATAGAGGAAAAAAGGTTATAAAATAACAAATTCGTTTAAGTGCCTTCCATATGTTGTTCATCCTTATAAAATTTGGAGGTTGGGTCTACGTTAATCCTGAACTTCATCGAGGCATTAGCCTCTTTAAGAGAATTGTCGACATTAAACTCATTTTCTTAGGGCTGGGTCAAGTAAGGTCCGATCACTACGGCAGGGTTATCAAGGCAAATCTAAAATTTAGTTGTGTCACATTTTTTCGAGACACGAGTATATTAATCATAATTATAAGCTTAAAGGATCTGTTTGAGTGGTTCAGTTGTATGGCTCCCAAGTGAAATAATGTACCGATCTTAACCATTTGTAATAGGTTTCTTTCCTGATAAGAACATATTTCAAATTTCATTGAATTATCCTGAAAATTGCGATCTGTAGTTTGATTACAAAGTTTACATGGATGGACGGACAGACGGTCAGACGGACGGACATAACTAAATCGCTTCAGAAAAAGATTTTCTTTAAGGTTTCTATAGGACCAATATTGGAGGTTCCGTTGTTATCTTCAAAATTGCGATCTGTAGTTTGATTACAAAGTTTACACGGATGGACGGACAGACGGTTAGACGGACGGACTAAATCGCCTCAGAAAATGATTTTCTTTAAGGCGGCTATATTACCAATATTGGAGGTTCCGTTGTTAGGAGCATGGAACGATCTTAACCATTTGTAATAGATTTCTTCCCTGATAAGAACATTTATTATATGTAATGGAATTATCTTCAAAATTGCGACCTGTAGTTTGATTACAAAGTTTACATGGATGGACGGAAAATGATTTTCTTTAAGATGGGAATAAGACCAATATTATTGTATGTAACAAAGCACTAACCCAATATACCCTCCCCACTAAAGTGATGTGGGGTATAAAAATACTATAAAATTGTCGGGCATTGTCGACCATTTCATACCCTTCCTTACTTTTGAGCATTTGAGTTGTTTTTACCTTAATTCCGAAATATTTTAACAATTTGTCGACAAAGAATATAATTCAAGTCATTTGCATGGTGTTCAAATTGAATAATCTACTGATCTTTATCATTTTCAATAGGCTTTGTCCTTGTGGCAAGTAAAGGAATAAATATGTGCCAAATTTGATCGAATTATGTGTCTTGAAAATTGCAACCTGTAGCGTGCGCATAAAGAGATGAAATAATTCAATTTAAAGGGGGTTCTAATTAAAAAGGTCAATAAACTGGTTCCCAAATATGGAACAAATTTAGACAATGAAAAGTACTAATCTTAATAAATTGTCACCAAGGTAATTGTTTTAAGCTTCCTGCCTCATGATATATTTAGGAATAATTTTTGTTAAAAATTTTTAACAAGGGTCTCGATATAACATATTATTTTAATATATGACGACATCAATTAATTCATAAAAGATAACATGTAGGGGGGCTAGGGTGAAATAAAGGCTGATCATTATGTAATCTTGCAGTATTATTTATGCTTGTATAACACGTAGTTATGCCTATTTTTGTACATATATTAGAGTATTTGGCATAATCATTGGCTTTAAAGTCCAATTTAGGCAGTCCGGTGGTATGGGGACTATGTGCAATAATGGATTGATATCAACCAATAGGTTTAGTTCTTGGGTCAAAAGTAATACGTTTATAAAACAAGTAAGAAGTTATAGTCGGGCGAGGCCGACCATATAATACCCTACCCCTGTTACAAAAATAAAATGTGATTTAATTTTCATAATAAAGCATTAAGTTGAATTGTTGTACCTTGCCTTAAATTATACTTAAGCCATTTATTGTTGAATAAAATTGTGGACATTTAAGTCAAATTTTGAAGGGGACTTTAAAAAGGGGCTATTGTCAAATGAGACCCTATAATTATAAAATTCTTGAGGGTCATTAAGGCTAGTATAGAACTGCAGCTTTGCAGCTTTTTGTCGAGATACGAGTATATTAAACATAATTATGAACTTAAAATCCCTCTTTGACGGGTTCAGTTGTAAGGGGGCTAGGTGAAATAAAAGACCGATGTTAACCATTTCGTCTCCGGTACCATAGAAGATCATCTGCCAAATTTCTTTGAATTATCTTCAAAATTGCGACCTGTAGTTTGATTACAAGGTTTACAAGTCCTATTCGGGGGTTCAGTTGTATGGGGGCTAGGTGAGAAAATAGACCGATGTTAACCATTTTCAATAGTCTTTGTCTCCGGTACCATAGAAGATCATCTGCCAAATTGCATTCAATTATCTTCAAAATCTTATCCTGTAGTTTGATTATAAAGTTTACAAGCCCTATTCAGGAGTTCAGTTGTATGGGGGGCCAGGTGAAATAATGGGCCGATGTTAACCATTTGCAATAGGCTTTGTCTCTGTGACAATAGAAGATCATGTGCCTAATTTTATTGAATTATCTTCAAAATTGCGACCTGTAGTTTGATTTCAAGGTTTATATGGACGGACGGACGGACATAGCTAAATCGACTCAGAATATGATTCTAAGCCAATTGGTATACTTTAAGGTGGGTATAGAACCAATATTATTGTGCGTTACAATTATAATTACGACCTGTAGTTGGATTACAAGGTTTACATGGCTACATACAGACAGACTGGCAAATATAGGGGAGGACATGGCTTAATCGAATTAGAAAATAATTCCGAGCCGATTGGTATACTTTAAGATGGGTATACATTAATCCACTAAAGTGTTGTAGGGTATACAAATTGCGATCGATATATTGATTTTTAGATTTTACATGGATTTACGGGTAGATGAACCCATTTGTTCGTTGCTAACATGTCGGGTCAGATCGAATAAGAATGTCTCAGTTAGTAAGGTGTAGGACTTTTGTTTTTGAGCTTTAATGTTTGTAACGTTTAAAATACTTGTGGGTTAAGGAGTAAAAACACGATTTAGATCTGGAATTCTTGGGAAAACTTTTTCATTCCTTTTAAATTTGTAAATTAATCCAAAAAAATTTTTACAAAATTTTTGTTTTGTAATAAATCCCTTAAAGTTTTGTCAATTTCTTTAAATGCATGAGTTTTAAAATCCAATAAAAATATTAGCTGATGATTTATTTTAATTTTCACATTAACTTTGCAATTATTGGCCCATTGTTATGTTATAAATTTATTTATCTTTTTATTAATTATGCACAGCATGGGTTTCATGTTTAATTTTTTAAAAATATAGGTATTTATGTTAAATTTATTTTAACAAATCACTAAAATTTTGTAATGCACTTTCTTTATCAAAAAAAATTCACTTGATTCATTCACTGTTAATCCAAGCAATTAAATATTACATGTTTAAATATGTTTTCAACAATTTGCATAAAATAAGAAAAACATGCAATTTGTTTTCACTGATTATATATTGTTTTCCTTTGCTCTCTTTTCAAATAAAACACAGTATGGGCAAAATATGATTACAGCCAAGTTGTTTGTTTAATAATAATTTTACTAATAAAACTTTTTTTAATTTTTTTTAATTATATACAAATGGTTTTTGTTAATATATACAATTTGGTTTTATAAGTTTTGTAGATTTTTTTAAAAATATTTGTTTTTTTTTCACTTAAAATTGTATTTTTGTTAAATTTTTTAATTCAAAATTTTTGGGATATTTTTTGTTTAATTTTTAATAAAAATTCTTTATTTTGGTTTTTTGTGTAATTATTATTTTGTTTAATATATTTTAAACTCACTTTTAAATTTTCAATTATTTTTGAATTTTTTTGTTTTTGCTAGCAACGCTTATATCAAAAAACACCTGTTGTTGTATAATCCACCATAAAGTCAACAAAGTGTTTTGATTTTCTCTAAGCCACAAAATTTATTTATTAAAATTTTGTTTATATTTTTTCTGGCTATTTATTTCAATTGCGCATGAGCAGTAGTTTTGCAAACACACACACACACTGTTTTTAATTTTAATTAAACTCTTAAAAATATGCAATAAAATTTTGCAAAAATCAATTTGGGCGTTTAATTAAACTCTTTGTTCAATTAGCAAAGAAACCGCTATAATTCCAATAAACAATTGTCATGTTTTGTTAAACAAAAAGAAAAACTAAACCGTCGGTAAACGTTTCTAACGTAGAAATACTGCGGCAACACGTTAAAACGCCTCAATAGTTCGCTCTAAACTGAAGTTAAGCCACAACAGAGAAACAAGTGGGAGCCCCAAATTAACACAACACTAGACTCTTACTAACTAACACTGCACGACAGATACCTATGTTTGTATGTATGTACACACAGAGATATCACACACCACAAAATAAAAGCATGGCTTAAAGAAGAAATGAAAGATGGAAGACAAAAAAGTAAACAACACAAATAAAACCAATAAGGAGACAAAAACCGGTTTTAATTCAACTTTAATTTTTGTTTATTATTACATTTGCAGGTGTAATAATGAGAAAAACAAGAGGTGAATAATGTTAAAAAGAGAGTAAGATTTCAGAGAAATAACAGCAAACGGTTAAACATGCAAATAACATAGCCAAACATTTAGTGAAACGGTTAACAGAGCTTCAACTCTATCTCTCTCTCAATAATAGAGAGGAAATTTCCAAATGAAAAGGTAAACAATTGGAATGTTTGTAAACAAACCTGTTAGCAATATTTTTGTATGTGTGAGCATTATAAAATATCACAGCTTTGTTTGTAATAACTAGTAAAATACAAATCAGTTATTGGAGCATAATTTAACCCAAGAGAGAGAGGGAGAGAAGAGAAAATATTTAATATAACCGTATTTTTTATTGTTACATGATTCTTTCGCTGTTACATGATGTAGTTGTATGCAGAGAGTTATTAAATACCCAAACCAATAGAAATACAAAAAAATTCTTGTATTTCAAACAAGTGTTGGAGTTGGCTTATTTGATTAAATTTTCAAAATCTTGACAAAGATCAGTTACGTATGACTAAATAGTACGAACAACAGGCAAGTGGTGGTGGCTTAGGTAAGAAGTATTGCTCCTATTGATTTGTTAAGAACACAAGTGTTTTTTCATTTTCAAGGCAAGTTTTTTTTTCGGTTATTGTTATAAACTGCTCTACATATTTGTAGTTAAGCTATTGTTAAGTTTCAAATGCACTTTTTATACCCTACACCACTTTAGTGGGGAGGGTATATTGGGTTTGTGCTGATATTTGTAACGCACAATAATATTGATCCTCTACCATCTTAAAGTATACCAATCGGCTTAGAATCATTTTCTGAGTCGATTTAGCTATGTGCGTCCGTCTGTCCATGTAAACCTTGTAATCAAACTACAGGTCGCAATTTTGAAGATAATTCAATGAAATTTGGTACATGATCTTCTATTGTCCCAGCGACGAAGCCTATTGAAAATGGTTAACATCGGTCCATTATTTCACCTAGCCCCCATACAACTGAACCGGACTAATAGGGCTTTTAAGTTCATAATTATGTTTAATATACTCGTATCTCGACAAAAAGCTGAAAAACCAAATTCTATACTAGCCTTGATGACCCTCATGAATTTGTTAATTATTGGGTCTCATTTGACCATAGCCCCTATTTAAAGTCCCCTTCAAAATTCGACTTAAATGTTCCCAATTTTATTCAACAATAAATGGCTTAAGTATATCTGAGGCAAGGTACAATTCAACATAAATGCTTTTTTATGAAAACTAAAAAACATTTTATTTGTAACAGGTGTAGGGTATTATATGGTCGGCCTCGCCCGACTATAATTTCTTACTTGTTTTTTGTTAATAAAACCAAAAATTATTAAACCTTATATTTAACATAGTAAATCAAATTTTATTTGAAGTTTTGTTTTTTTTGTTTATTATAAGTTCGTAAAAAACTAGTTATTACCATAAATATAAAACACATTATTTATGAGCTAATAATTTAACATGTTGTTTTTGTTGCTGCTGCTGCAATTTCAATTGTTTTGGCTTGTTTTGTTGTGACTAAATAAAAATTAGAACAATATAAGAACATGAGTGTTAATGAATATTTTGCTTTTGTTTTACTGTATTAATATTTTGCAGCAATATTATTTTATAATGGAAATTAATTTTATTATGTATTGTATTTTTTAATTTTGTTTATAATAAATATAAATATGTATTGAACTAATTGTAAATTGAAAATAATAATTACTGCCAAGACAAGAATAACGCTATGTATTTATACATAGACTAGCATTACCCAGTGTACTTTGCTACCCACATCGTTGCTAGGTTAGGTTGATAGGAGAATGTAGAATCATTTTCTGAGTCCATTTAGCTATGTCCGTCCGTCCATCTATTTGTCTGTCCATCTGTCCCTCCACGTAAACCCTGTAATCAAACTACAGGCCGCAATTTTGAAGATAATTCAATGGTATTTGGTACATGATCTTCTATTGTCTCAGGGACGAAGTCTATTGAAAATGGTTAAGATCTTTTCAATATTTCACCTAGCCCCCATACAAGTGAACCTCTGAATAGCGCTTGTAAAACTTGAAATCAAACTACAGGTCGCAGTTTTGAAGATACTAGCATTACTCGGTGTGCTTCGCTACCCATATCGTTGCTATGTTAGGTTGATAGGAGGATATAGAATCATTTTCTGAGTCCATTTAGCTATGTCCGTCCGTCTGTCCGTCCATCTGTTTGTCTGTCTGTCCGTCCATGTAAACCTTGTAATCAAACTACAGGCCGCAATTTTTAAGATAATTCAATGGAATTCGGCAGATGATCTTCTATGGTAACGGAGACGAAGCCTATTGAAAATGGTTAAGATCGATTCATTATTTCACCTATCCCCCATACAACTGAACCCCCCAAATAGCGCGTTTAAACTCATAATTATGTTTATTATACTCATATCTCGACAAGAAGCTGCAAAACAAAATTTCTATATCACCCTGATGTATACTTTACTATGAAAACTAAATTACACTTTATTATTCTAACAGGTGTAGGGTATTAAATGGTCGGCCTCGCCCGACTATAATTTCTAATAACTTTTAATTATGTCCTCGTTGCGCCAAATTGTTTTGCTTTCGTCAGGTTAACTACCTGGAGCTTCCTTCTTTTTAAACGGATGTTTAATATCCGCTATTTCGTTGCCCGACTACTTCCGAGTAGGCTGGTAACCATATGATGTAAACCTTATCTCTGGAAGAGTATTCGGTTAGAACTCTTATACTATGCAATATGGTCTTAGATTTAACTTTATCATCTGATATCGCCCTAATTGCCTATTGACTGTCGGTAAATATGTTAAGCCCCATGGGCGCCATATTTATTCTACTCCAATTTACGTATTCCGTTATTTCTCGGACTTCTGTCTGGAAGCTATTGTTGTGGTTATAGAACCCCGGCCATCTTTGTCTCCCAATTTAGGACCATCCGTTAGCAACGGATTCCTACAGCTATTACGAGATCGGGCACGTTCAATGATTGTGTATAGCCTTCCAATGTGTCCAGTATACATTGATGACGTGTCCGCTTTCGGTTAGTTCTCCTAAAGTTATGAGCCGTTCGTCTGTAAGTGCCGCCTCATATCCTATATATGTTACAATGGGTGGAATATCTAGCAACCTTTCTAGAAGTCCACCAAATTATTTAAGCTTAAGTTGGAATCGTTCTAATTACACTTTTATAATGCCAATATGTCATAGTAGTACTAAGGCCCCTCATCATGCGTTCTCATACATAGCGCCCAGCATGATGTACCTTGTTGATCGTTTCCTCTATGTGGTGTCTCCATTTAAGCCATTCAAAAAGGCTAATCTGTCAACATTGGATGTAATGTTCTTATTGAGATTAATTTTCACTCAAGTCTAAAGAGTTCTCCTCAATGTACTTGGACCGGTCCAAAACTAATCCAAATATATGAAAAACATGCAACTTTAAGATGTCCTGGATGAGGTCGTGGATTCATTTAGCACCAGATATACTGATAAAAGAGAGACCAGAGGACGTGGATTCAAGTCCCACCAGATACAGTGATAAAAGAGAGCACAACAGGCACGATGAAGACTTAAGTACATTTCTTCAGATTTGATGTAACATACACCCTGCTTAGAAATTGACTAACTGATACCAAAACTACTCCTTTGCTTTGATATGGAAGTACATAAACCACGGGTATGGTCTATGGGGTATGCAAACTTAACACTATATGGAAACTTTGTTTATAGGACTACGGTTTTAATTTGATGGCTGATTGTTTGATTCAAGAAATCGTTAATCAGAGGTTAAAAATCAATCAGAAGTCGAGTTCAAAGCCGGAAAAAAATAGTAATGGACCGTAAAAATTTTCAATTTTAGAATGTTGAAAAAACATTTCCTAAGGATATAGATTAAATTTTAATTATCGATTCGTTTAAAAAAATCGCAAATTCCTCCAATAGATGATTGTAAGTCCATTTCTAAACTTCAGAGCCGTAGAGGCACCAGTATTCTATAAGTATTATAAATGATTTTATATAAATCATTCTAATAATTTACAAATTATGATAATTTCCTCTACATACATATAAATCAAACACATTACTCATACTAATATGTATACTCACAAAACAAAAGACTTAAGAAACAAACCCTAAATGAAGAAAAAACGACAACAGTATATACGGACCCATTAATCAATGTTAATGCAAATAGTTGTAAATTTCTAATATTATTATTCAATACACTAAAAACAACACCACAATAAACTGATCTTTGACAACTTTACATCATTTCCATTTGCAATATTATTTAAATAGTTAATAAATATGCAACAAATGTTTTATTTTACAAAAAAAACAAATATCAAAAGGAAGTGTCAAAGCGGCAATATTTTTAAATTATTCACTCCATCAACTTGACATTCAAACTTAGAGAATAATCTGTTAAATTATCTAAGAGAAATAGAATACAAAAACGTGCACATAATTTCTGAAAGCATTGTTTTAATTTAAGACTTCATTACATTGAACTAAACATTGCTAAAAGTGATTTTGAAAATTAGAAATAAATAATGTCACTCACATACACAAAACATCCATAAAAGATGACAGTGATTTATAAAATAACAACAACAACAACTAAGACTAAAGATCACTTATTTTAAAGCTATTAACAGCAATTTTGCTTGAATTTACCTATTTTTTTTCTAAATACTTTTTTTGA